CGGCCGGCCCAGGCCCAGCTGCTCACGGCCGCCATGGCCCGGCCGGCACAGGCCTCCCGCGATCCTCCCCCGCACGTCCCCTCTCAAGCTGCACGCGCCTGCTGTGCCCTGAACCCAGTGGGGTCGGCACACGGGCTCCATGTCGATGCAGCTCGAACAGGCCTCGGAACCCCCGCCCCTGGCTGTCAGTCCCCCAGACCCCTCGAGCTAGCTGAACCCCGTCCTTTTGCCCCAAAGGCCCTGCGGGTCTGGATGTTTTCACAAGCACGTGCTCTGATTTTCTTGACCTGGAAGACAATCCAGGCCGGGGAGCAGGTGTTTGGGGGTCCCTGGCACGGGCCCCATCTTCTCAGGGGTGTGCGGTGGCCCGTCAGCCCCCAGGCCCTGTGCAGCGGCCTGGTGATGCCCAGTGGCCATCCTGGGGCTGCTGCCGTCTCACAGGGGTCGCCAGGGCTGGGAGTGCCGGCCCCGGACAGGGCTGGCTCCCCTCTTTCAGGCTCGGGAAGCTGCGGCGTGCAGGAGCCGGGGCGATGCAGAAGTCCCGACATGTAGCCAAGGGACCAGTGATCCGCTGCCCCTGCTGGGCAGGACCCCGCTCATCGCTGCCCAGCACTGGGGGCCCCACTGTCACTCCCTCTTTACTGCTGTCTGCCTCCCCGAGACTCGCGCTCTCTGCCCCTGCCTGCCTCACACGGTCTTCAGGGAGGGGGCTGCAAGTGACCGGGACCTGGCGCCAGGGCGAGGGAAAGGCCAGTGGGCAGTGACAGAGGAGCTGGGCCTGGTTGCCGCCCACCACCACCTCGTGTGCCTGGCTGAGCCCCCACCCCCACCCCACCCCAGCTCCTAAACAGGCTGGGGTTGCCCAGAGCTCGAAGTCTCCTCCCAGCTCTTCTTGTTTAAGATCTTGACTCCAGAGCCCCCAGAGGAAAGGGCCCCAGGCCCCCAGCGAGCGGGACCCATGGTGAGCAGGCCCGCGGGCAGGGGCTGATGCTGCCACAGCCGGGGGACGGCCCCCACCCCCCTACCCCCCAGGAAGGCTCTTACCCATCTCTCGGACATTGTGCACACTGAGAAAACCCTGGGGGGAGAAGAGTTAGACGTGATGTGGGTGAAGGGAGGAAGCCTGCTGCAGCAGCTCTCTGAGCCCCGACACGAGAGGACGTGCGAGGCCGTCGGGCTGGACAACAGGCCGCCTCGGGGGTTCTCACTTGCACATCCACGGACGGGGGAGACAGCAACACAGTACGATCCTCCGGGAGCACAGAGCAGCAAGCTTGCTGCCTGCAGGGAATGCAGGGACCCAGCCGAGCAGCTGGGTGACCAGTCCGGCCTTGCGCCGAGGATGGGGGTCCCCGAGGGCACCCGACTGGTGCGAGGGGGCACGGTGCTCCCAGCCCCTGCCACACCCAGCCCCCTCCATCCAGCTGTCTGTCCAGACACCCCACCCCCCTTCCTGTACAACCAGCCCCGGCGCCCCCCACTCACCTCATCACCCGCTCTGAAGAAGCTCTTGAAAGTCCGACTGAGGTCCTGTTCCAGTTCTGCCTCCGCCACCCCCTAAAACAATCCGGCCGGATGAGGGGCTCCGGAGGGATCTCGGAGCTGGCCCCTTGCCCCTCGGGCTGTCCCCCCACCCCCCACCCCCCTGGTTCCCTGGAAGCCATGCCAGGATTTCCAGACTGAAAAGCTTCAAGGAAACTACAGACAGTGGCCCTGGGAGGCGGCGTGCGGAAGCCGCTTTCTGGGTGCTCATCCCCGGTGAGGAGGTGTCCTCTGTAACGACCCTCAGAGGCAGTGGGGGCGGCCAGTGCAGACACAGGCTGCAGAGGGGCTGAGATGGGCCCAGCCCTGGAGGCCACAGGAGGCCCCTTGCGTGTTTGGCTGCAGCCACTTCCAAACCTGCTCTGCGGAGCTGGCCCGGACCCCCGCAGGCCGCCGGCCTGTCCCCCTGAGAGCCAGGTCGGGCAGCCTGCAGTCCCCTTCGCAGCCCCACGCCCGCACTCCGTGGCCTTGCCCGCCCTGTGCCCTGCCCCGCGGCCAGCAAGCTCGTCGGGGCCAGCACTTGGCGGTTTTCTGATGGAGGCAATGCCAGCGTGTGCGCCGCGGCCGCTCAGTAATGGGGGGGGGGGCGCGGGGGGTATCCACTTTCTGCTCCGTGACTGACCACTGAGGCCAGAGGGCAAGTGCAGGCCTGGGCAGCCCCCGGGGGCGCCTGGCCCCGACTCATCTTGAGAGCAGCCCTCACCCCAGCAGCTGCTGCTGGGTGAGCTCCAGAAGTGTCCCGTGTGGGGAGGGAGGTGCCCACGTCCAGCCCAGGCCTCAGGCCGCGGATGGCCCTTAGCAGGGCAGCGGGCCGCCCAAGGGCCGAGGGGACACCAGCGAGTGCTCAGGGGTTCACGCTCAGCCCCACCACCTCAAAGTGCAGCAGGCGGCTGGCGACAGATCAGAGGCGAGGCGGCTTGGCCGTGCGCCCGCCCGCAGGCCAGGCAAAAGCGCCCGAAAGCGCGGCCTGGTCGGCCGTCTGCCCGAGCTGGCCGGCCCCTCGCGGCACACTTACTAACTGGTGGCTTCATCCCCCGGTTCCCTCGCCTGTGAAATGGGGGGCTGCGAGGCCCCGAGGCGAGGCCCGTTTCCCACGAAGCTGCGTGCTCCGTGGCCGTGCTGACGGAGCTTCCCCCCAACAGGGGAAGCTTCAGACTTGGCTGAGTGCGGGTGAGTGAATAAACCGTAGCTTAAGAGTGACTCTCAGGCTCAGGTGGGGCTGGGGGGGCCTGGGTCCTCCTCCCAAGGGGGTCCCACCTTCTCTAGCTGAGCAGGCAGCGTGGGCCCTGGGCCGGCCCTGACTAACCCTGGCTGCTACTTTCACCCCAGCCAGTCCCGGGGCCTGACCAGACAGCTAATCTGGATTCTACTTCTTCCTGCCAAGAACCTTTGTTTTTAAGAACAAAACCACCCCCTCAACTCTTCCTGCAGATTTGAGGCTCAGCTGCTACATCAGAACAGCTGATTTCTCCACTTGGCCTCACCAGGCGGGAGTTAGCAACCCTCTGGCCCCAGGTCACTTTCCTCATCAGGACTCTGAGCTTTTCCTGCTCAGCTTTTCTCTCTCTGCTGGCTGACGCGGGGCGCAAAGATTAAAGTGCAAGGTCCCTCGCCACTGACTGAGACGACGCCCTCGGGCTCTGAAGTCAAACCAAGTGGCGTCAACACTCCGGTGCGGGGGGGGGGGGGGGGTGCTGGCTCTGTCCAAGCCTCCTGTTTGCTCAGCTGTGATGGCTCTCTAGGCCTCAGGGCTGCCTGGGATAGGAGCCCAGGTATGGGACACTCCAGAAACGTACTGCTGCAACCATCTAGGGGCCCCTAGATTGGGAAACACACATGCATTCATGCAGGTGGTGGAATATTACTCAGCCCTGAAAAGGGACCCTGCACACCTGCCACGACTGGACGAAGCCTCGGGCATTGTGGCTACCTCACCTCAAAGGTCCAGCTGCTTTTTATGGACTTTTTCAGATTCTGATGTGAGTCAGGGACTCTTTCTGGACAAAAGCATTACACGTTGAAACCTATGAGCACTCTCCAGACATCCCAGAGCTTCTGAAACGCCTCTGGAGGATGGCCATTTTGTTCGGCATCCTCGCTCATCTACTCGTCTGGGGGAAGCCTCAGACGAGGCTTTTCATGCCTCTTCAGCCATTTGTCCCCTTGGTTAAAATGCCTTTCCCTCTCTGCCCGCCCACCCAACGTGGCGTGTGCCTGGCAATTCAAACGCCTCCTCCTTTTGTAAAACGTATCGGCATTTTCTTGTGGTCTCCAGAGTCAGCTGCACCCCAACGATAACCTTTTATGCTACTTTCTTCTCCGGGTTATTTGGACCTCACTGATCTCAGACCTCCGGCCCCCAGCAAGGGGAAACCCTGAAGACAAGGCTACTTCAAACCAATGAAAGATGATTTGATTCGTCTCAGGTGAGAGGAAGCAGGCAGCTTCCTGCATGGCCGGGCACTGGGGGAAGGGGCCTTGGGGGGCTGGGGGGGCTTGTGAGCACCCCTCCACCCTGCGCCTGACACGAAGTCATGCTGTGGCCTGAAACGTCTCACCAGTGGGCACTGCTCTCAGAGGCCAGCAAGTTGGTCGCGAAATGAAGCCTCCCAGGACCAGAAGGCCCAGGCTGGGAGGGGCCCCTGCTCCTCACTGCTGCAGCCCGTGCCCTCTGTCATGCGGGGAGCGTCCTCTTCCGCCCTGAAACTGTCTGCCCAGTTCCCAGTCCCCGTTCTGTCGCCTTTGCTCACTGCTACTTCTTTTCTTGCAGACGACGGAACCAGCCCGGGCGGCGGAAGGCGAGACGAGGGGGCTCTAAGCGAGGGCCGGGGCACAGCCGCACATGAGATTGGGGTGCGCAACGCACGCCCTGCCTGTCCCCCAAGACCCTGATGATGAGAGCCTTTAGCCTCTCGGGCGCATCAGCGCTCCCCCGTGGAAGGTCGCCCCCCCCCCAGCCTAGCTCGGGGAGCGGCTCGGGGTCAGCAGCCTGAGTGTCCTCAGGTCGTGGCTCCTGACGGGACCCTGCACCAACTCTGTTGCCTGCACCAACTCTGTCTCTCGCGTCCCAGCTATGAGCAGTGGTGCCTAAGCTCCAGGAGCAGAACTGCCCAGGCCCGACTGGACACTGGGGTCCAGTCCACAAATGGAGGAGGAGGAGGAGCCCACATGGACGAGGCAGGAGCAGGGAGGAGGCCCGGTGGTGACTCACGCTGCTGCCCTCAGGGAACCCGGGGACACCACCACCCCACCTCAAGCTCTGCCGCACCTCCGAAAGGCATCTGGGGCTTTGTGACATATGGGGTGTAAGCCCCCACGTCTTGGGGCCAGGCACAAGCGCCCCAGTAATCACCAAGGGACAGCGCCAAGCTAGCACTCTGCCCCCGCGCCCCCCCCAGCTGCCCACACAGGAGGTGCCACCACCTGGAAGAGCCCACTGAGCCGGGAATCGGCCTGCCTAGCGCCTCGGAGGGCCCCAAGGTCCCCAGCTAGGGGGGCGGTGGGGATCGCGGCGGGGCCCCACTTACAGGCTCCTGGAAGTAGAGCTGGTAATCGAACACGGGGTTGGCTTTGATGGCCTCCATCATGGGCACCTGGGGGCTCGCGGGAATGAAGGGCGTGTTCAGACTGGCCACTGCCCTGAGGAAGGAAGCCAGAGCTGGGCGGGCCAGCAGGTTGCACCCATGGCCCGAAGGGGCGGGGGTGGCGGCGTCTTGTCACTGAGTGGGCTGAGAGGACAGAGTTCCACCCTCGCGGACACAGACAAGCAGCAGCCGGGGCACCAGCAGGCCGCTCGGGGTGACGGTCTTTGCACGCTGGGGTCCGAGGCTGTAAGGGGCGGACAGTCGGGGGGCCCCAGCTGCCGCTGGCCAAGGGGCTGTGGCGCCCAAGACCACTCTCTGGGGCCAGACCGCACTGCCGGAAAGCCCCGGAGCCCCGGAGAGGCCCGTCCGCTCACACCGCAGACAGCCGGGCTGGGTGGGGGTTGCCAGCACCCCTCTGGCTCAGTAACCCAAGACCTCATGCGGGAAGCAATGTGCCACGCGGCCCACTCAGGGCAAACGGAAGCCCCCATTTCCCATTTTCTCACCCCCGTGAGTCTCCTCGGGGCGTCATCCTAGGGAGCCCACACACCTGCTGCGTCCCCAACGCCCCTACTCCACGGAGCCTTGCTGGGCTGTTCCCATCACCCATGGGGGCAGCCCCGCTTCCCGACTTCGTTGTTAATGTGCTCACGTGTCACCGCGACTGCAGGGAGCTGGGTCCAGCCTGACCCACTCACCTCACTCGCTCGGGGTAGAAGAGCGCCATGTTCCACACCAGCATGCCGCCCCAGTCGTGGCCGATGAACACCGCCTGGGGGATGCCCTGGCAGGGACGGGAGGGGCGCCTGTGGGGCCAGAGGCTTCCTGTCCCCCCAGCACCCCCCCAGCCAGGCCTCCCACGGTGGGCCCAGCCCCGTGCCCCACCCCCACCCCCGGCACTCCTAGGCCTGCACCTCCCTTCCCCATGCACCCCCACCCCACCCCCGCGCCCCGCTGCGGAGAGCTGGTCTAAATTGTCACGCGAGACGGAAGCCGTGGGCGCCCTCTCCCTAAGGTCAAAATGCGCTTTACTTCCTTTTCTCCTCGTGTCCAGGGAGTCTGACTCCCGCGAGTCCCTCAGTCTCTGTCCTTCCTGCCCTTTCCTGTCCTGGCCGCCGGCGCCAAGGACGCTCAACCGCTGCCTTGCTGAGCACCTGCTGCATCCCAGGCCCGCGCCACGGATGGTCACACGGAGCCACAGTTCAGCCCCCCAAATCGGGCCACCCCACACTGTGCCGCCAGCCCCTGCGGTCACGCTGGGCCTCTGGAGCCCCCGGCCGCCGCTGCCGCCTTCCCGCAGGGCCGACGCATCGCCAACCTGACCGCTCCCCAGCGGCCTGGCTCCTGCCCCAGCCCCCAGTGGGGACTCGTCCCAGGCCAGCCGTTCCTCGGGTCTCACGCTCCTGTCCCGACAGCAGACGTCTCCTGCGAAACGTCCTCCCGTGGCCCCGACACAGCTCTCCAGACGCTCCCTGCTTCCGCTGTCCGCCCTGTCCCTCTCCCCGGGTATCTCGGGGCTCAGTCTGCAGGCCCTGCCCCAGGCCACCGGCTCGGGGCACCTCTCCTGCAGCGTCGCTGCACCCCCGGGGAGCCGCTCGGCCATGGCTCACGCTTAGCTCTCGCTACCCGGCCCCGACGTGCCCCTAGGCCAGGTCCGACACTTACCAGCCTGTCCAGGAAGGTGACCATATCCTAAGAGAGAACACGCAAACGTCAGACGCCCGGCTGCCCCCTTGGGGACTTCGGGGTCGGAATCTTGTTAGGGGCGGGGTTGCGTCCTCTCCCGCAGGAGCCCCACCCCAGCCTCACCCTACATCTGGATTTGGAGGTCAGGTCATGAAAGAGGCCAATGAGGGCGCGAGTGTGGCCTGATGGGTGCTTCGGAAGAATAGGAGCGCCCAGGGAGACCACGGGGCCACGGGAGGACAGTCCCCTCACGCCGCAGACGCAACCGAGCCGGCGCCTTCACCCTGCTCTCCCAGCCGCCAGGAGGCCAGAGGGCACCTCAGTGGCTGAAGCCCTCATCTGCTGGGCTGCGCTCGGGCAGCCCCGGCCACCTGGTAACCCCAGCAGCTGGTCTGGGGACCTATGAGGACACCGCAGATTCCCGGGGAGGCAGGCGGTGGCTCCTTCTCGGAGGAAGCCGGGGAAAATGCCGCTGTGGGCAGCGAGCTTGTGCCAGGCGAGCACACCCCACGTGGGCACCAGCCCTCCGGCTGTGCGAGCTCACGGCTGGAGCAGGTGTTGCAGGGAAAAGACACCTAACTCAGGACACAGGTGGTCATCCTGGGGCATGTCAGGAGGAGCTGGGAGGGGGCCATGGGGCTGGGGGCGCAGCGCAGACAGTGCTGGGAGCTAGCGGAGCCCAGACCAGGCTGGCCTCGGACCTCCGGCCCGTCCTCCTCCCGGGCGCCTCTGCCTGGGCCACGGAGTCCCCAGCAGTGGCTTCGGGAGCTCCGCCTGCTGCCCGGGCGGTGCCTGGCTTTCACCACTTCCGTCCCCCACGTGGGCTGGATACCAGAGAGTCCAGAGGGCAGAGGCCAGAGGCCTCACCTGGGAAATTGAGTGGCCGGCGCTCTCCCTGCTCCCAGGGCAGGCGCCTGCGCGGGCTGGACGATGCGCTGGACAGCGCTGCAGGGCCTGCGACTTGGAGGTTTGCGGTGTTCACATCACCCACCGTGTGGCCGGTTTAACGGGTTTTCCGCCAGCCAGGAGGCTGTTTCTCCGCCTGGCCCCTTCAGCCTTGGCTTTTGCAGGAGGGCTGATGCAGGTTGACCAGTCTCTCCTCCTTGAGCTGGCCTGGCCCACAAAGGCTGAGCCGAGGGTCTCCCTCCCTGATGGCGCGATGTGCGCCTCATTGCTAGACTCCGCCCTACGCAGCGCTAACCCCGCCCTGGCCAGTGACCTCTTCACCACAGTAAAGTTTTAAAATTCTCAGGAGGGAGCGGTGGCAGCGGGTGGCCAGGAGGGTGTGGCCGCTGCTGGCTGCAG